GCCATGGGCATCTTTCCTTTTCTCTACGCATCTGCATGCGCTTGCTCTATCTGTGCTCTTTGCCTTGAAGATTCTGGCACTGGCTGGCTTGGGGCAGAGGTAGATGGAGCAGAGGGGGTAGCCCTTGGTGTGACACTTGGAGCGGCGGTGGACTGGTTCTCCCCTTCTTGACGATTTTGAGGGACCTGTCCTCATCATCATCAAGCCTCCTTCGTTTTGATGCCTAAACACATGGAGTTGGGTCCATTCTTCTCTTCAGCCTTTGCTCCTCTGCTTGTGGCAAGGATTTGATTTTTGCCTCAAAGAGTTTGAGGAGCTCTTCTGCGGCGTCCCCAAATCTTTGAATCTCTATGTCCGTGCGATAGTTGAAGGCAACCAAGGAATGCCTTATCGATTTTGTTGCCTCCGTGGCCTTGCAGTTGAAGTCTGATATGAAACTTGCAAAAGCACTGATGTCGTCGTCTTCAGAGCTAGACGCTATGTCTTCTTCATCGCTCTCCATGATAAGAGCCTTCTTTCCCTTTCTCCTTTCCTGCTTGGATCTTCGCTCTATGTGTGGCTGGCTAGATCCTGTCTCTTTTGAGTCAGAGACAAGAGCCATAAGTCCACCCAGAGCGACCTTGGCCTTCTGCACTTCCTATTCTTGGGCTTGCAGAGTCCCATACACGTTGTGTAGTGTCCATTGCTCCAGATCTTGATTCGCCTGGAGGGACATGGTCAAGTTTCCCCATTTTGCATTCAACCTCTTTAAGAAGAGCATGTTATTCTCCTCTTGTGTTCTGATCATGTCACATTTGCGACACTTGTTTATTAGTGTGTTGAACCTATGAAATTTGTTCTAAAGACTCATCGGGAAGCACCTGGAAACTGTTGTACTCGTTTAAGCATTGAGCACGACGGTTTTTCTTCATCTTTATCCCCCCTTCCAGCTGGTTTGCCAATTGATCCCATAGATCCTTGGCAGAATCACACGCATCAAGAAATTGAAAAATCTCATTTGGGAGAGCCATGATCAAAAGCCTTTTGGCTTTTTGATCCACCTCAACTCTGCGTTTGTCCTCATCGTTCAAATCACGACGAAGCATGGGAACTCTCCTGGCAGGTACTTCAACCGTATCGCCAGCAGCAGGAATACGAGGAATAATAGTAGTAGAGACATAAGGGCCGTTTAGAATCAACTCATAAAGTTCGAGGTCATGACCCTCATAAAAATTAATCATCCGAATTTTTCATTGGGGATATTCTTCCTTAATGAGAGTCGGAGGTTTGGTCAAAGATCCAGCACTGTACATGGAGTTCCACGTTTGACTAGACATTTTTGATTAAAACTATTGAGAAGAAGATTGACGAGAAAGTGATGAACGACGTGAAAAACGATTTCCAGAATACGTAAAAGCAGACATTTTAAAATGATATAAAAAGAAGAATGAAATTTCTTTTTAAAAATGAATAATCAAAAATTAATAGTAGAATCCAGATGGATATCGATAGACTAATCAATGAGTTTGATTAGCAGGCTCTGATACCAATTGGTGGAACCCAGATACTCTTAATTCTCAGAAAACACAGTTGATAAATAATAGGATTGAAATACAAGCAGTGTACCGAATATGATCAAGCGAAATATTCAAAAAGTATAAGAACAGTAAAGGACTTGAATATGTCGAATGCTTTTATTAGATGAAAGTAAAGAACAATCAATCTAAACGTATTCTCACAATAAAAAGCTATAGTATAAGTCGGCACTCTCAGGTAATTTGAACCTGAGGAGGAAGTCTCCTTATATACGCCTAGGTCAAACAACTATGCTATAATTAAGGCTTGAATCTCTGAGTTGCCGAGTCCGCGTCCTTATCTTTGACTTCCCTTGAAAAGTGGAGCGGACTAAGTCAAGCCGCCTTGATTCTGTTGACGCTAGCGAGAATGTCTGGACTTGCACACGCGTTCCATGGAGAAGGAGACCAGAAGCTCTGCATGTACTATACAAAAGCTCTGCATGTACTATGCAGTGGTTCTGCATGTACTATGCAAAGGCTTTGTGTCTGGAGTTATAGCTTTGCGTTAAGCGCTTATGCTTTTTGGCACATAAGGCTTGATCGTCCACGGAGATTGAGCGCGGGCTCTGTATGTCGGGAACATTCACTCTTTGAGTAAGAGCTCTGGTTTATGACCTCTTCTGCATGAGAGCTCTTAGTCAGACCGCTTTAATAGACTAAGTCCTATTGACTAGAGTAAGAGACTTCCTACTTACACTTTCACAAGTTGGGGTCTAACAAAACCTTCTTGAAATCTTGTCCATCATAACTTATAATCGCTCAAAGTTTTGGTTGCACAAGGCTCTAGTTCATCGAGCTTATGGTCGATCATGCCTCTTGTTCTTAGTAACGTCTTGGTCGTTCAATGTTTGCTTCTGGTCCATATAACCAGAGCTTCTGGTCCCTTATGGTTTGCCTCTAGTCTTTTTTGGAGTTCAGACGAGAAGATATGATCGATGTAGCACAGTCGTGCAGATTTGTCCAGCAGTTTCTGGTTCAATGTGTTAGCTTCGGGTTAAGGCCTCTTTGTCTCTAAAGCGCACAATTCATAAGAGGCTCTGGCCCTTTACTCTAGAGGCTCTGTTCCTTCACTCTAGATGCTATGGTTCTACACTCCAGAAGCTCTAGACCTTCTATGAAGAAGCAGATCTGACTCCATGCATAACAACTTTGCATCAGTACACTACTGTCAACTTCAATGATACGTGTGACCCTTCTACAATTAGAATCTTTGAAAACTTAAAACACGAAACATGTATATCCTTATGTTTTCTAACCAGGGCCTTATGAATTGACTCAGTTTGTGCTTTGATGAATGTGATATGGTCAAATTACTACATCATCGCAAATCTATAAGCATGCTGATTTTCATATTATCATGTTGATTTTCATATTATCATGTTGATTTTCATATTATCATCATATAGAATGATAAGCCAATCTCCATTAAACTTTTAGAAAAAAACTTATAAATAATCAAGTTTCTAATTGATCATTTTAGAAAGTTAATTCTAAGTAATCAAATATCTAAAATCCTTTTCAGATCTGACTTTGAACAATCAAAATAGAATCGAATCTTCTCACATGCATTTCATCAAATATATAGAGTGCAGAACCAGATTGTGTAAAGAATCAAGAGCATCTAACCTTAAATCTTCTCCATCAATTATCAAATCCGAGATTGAATCCTAAACAAACTTAAAACAACCTTCAAATGAAAAATATCACAGAAATGATACATTGAGTTTTAGCACATATGATTGATCATTCTTGAACATCCGAATCACGAATTTAATTTTCAAGTCTTCAATTGTTGTCATAGATGACCAATTGAAGTAATTCACTTCAATTGGCTCTTATACCAAATGTAAGTCCCAAATTAGCAACAAATGAAGAAACTTCATATTAAATTACAGAAGAAATAGCATGAAGAATATTTAGTCTATAATCTCAACTCACCTCATGATTACAATAAAAAGAAAATAGAGAGAATTACACACAATGAATCAATCGACTCTCATACGCGCACCTTGTGTGTGTGTAATTCCTATCTCACTCATGATAAAATGGCCCAAGACACCCATTTATAGTGTCAAATTAGGGTCCATTTACAAATACTAAGCTCAAGCCCATGTAAACTACCAAAGCTCAAAATACAAGATACTTTATAAAACTTTTATCTAATTTGGGAGCTAATTAGATATGACATTAATTATTGGTTAATGTATGTTGTACAGATAAAGGTAAAAGTGACTGGATTGGATAATTGGGAAGAATATCTATTGGCATTTACAAAGATAAATAGATCAAAACTTAATGCTTAATGTATATTTGTGAAGTTATTGTGTATATAATTTAAAAGCATACCAGTTGATCCTCCTAAACTCATCAAATCTGCATTATCTTGTACAACCTTTAGGTTTGATTTGAATATGTTATATCATTGTATCATATTCCTTCTAGTTAAAAAAATAAAAGTAACATAATATAATGATTAGACAACATTTAGAAGGGAATGTAATGATTAGAACATATATGAATCAAAATAGTTAGAACATATTATCATAAAACACATGCATATATGAACCAAAACAATTAAAAATATTATCATAGAACTAATTCATATATGAATCAATCGAGTTAGAAGATCTTACCATAAAACTCATGCATATATGAACCAAACCAATAGATCATATCACCATAAAACACATTCATATGTGAACCAAAACAATAAGAACATCTTACCATAAAACTCATGCATATATGAACCAAACAATTAAAACATCTTACCATAAAACTCATGTTTATATGAACCAAACCAATTAGATCATATTACCATAAAACTTGTGTTTATATGAACCAAACCAATTTGAAATCATATTACCATAAACTCATGCTTATTTAAACCAAACCAGTTAGAACTTCTTATTGTAATTCATGTGTTGAAAAATAGACTATCAAGTGATTCTCTGCTTCACAACACCTCCTCTAACAATCGCATTAAGCTTCAATCCATGGTGCTCATTTTTCTTCTAGGATTAGTTCCGAGGTTGGTGGCTGGAGTTGATGGATAATGCTGAACTTTTAAGAAGAAGGAAAAGAATTGAACATATGTGTCGATATCAATGGTGACTCATTATTTCGATGAATCATTTCTTCTCGTCAAAGACCTATGTATAATTAAGAAAGATGAGAAAATAAAATGCTACGAGTAAAAATACAAAAATCTAAATTAAAAAAATGACATGGCAATTCTAATAAACTTCAACCACTCATACAAGTTACAAGTCATTTTGGACTCCAAATGAAAAAAAAATTAATTAATTAATTGAGAAAGGGAAAATTGGTTACATTAAATAAGAACAAGATAAATCTCGTTTCTTTTTGCCCTTATATATTTGCAAGCAACTCGTAAAGTATATCGTGTCGGTGTCATCGGTCGGGTTTGGCCGATTAATTGCGGACCGGGTTCCGTGGTGCTACTGAACCGTCTTCCGTCTGTCCCTCTCTCCTTCGCTCCTTCCATCGTCCCATAAACCCTAGAATTCCAGTATGTGTTAGGGGTTAATGATTGATCCAAGATTCTCCTAGTGATGATGAAGCACGACTCCAATCCAACTACCGCCAACAACCACCCTACATTAGCCACCGTCTGCGGCCACTGCGGCGTCGAAGAGCGGAAGCTTCTCCACCACGTCTGTATCCGAAGTAACTTCCGACGCCTCTGCACCACTTGCGTCCTCCGCCTTCACGCTCCATTCTTCTGTCCCGCTTGTCTTGGCGTCTACGACCGTTCGCCGCCCGATGACGCCGTCGTTTGCTACAAATGCTACTCTTCCTCTCACCCTAACTGCATCTCCTCTACAGCTGCGGCCTCAATCCAATCTTCGCGTGGTCCGTCGCCTTGCTCGTCTTGCTTAAACCCTAACGCTCTTGTTTTAAATCTTAATAGAGTAGAAAACGGGAGTAGGAGTGGTGGTAGGGCGATTGATAAAAATGCGGCGAGGTTGCTACTTGCTGCAGGGAAGATAGCGGCGATGTCGATGAGTAAGGCTGAGGTAGCGACAGCGGCAGAAGCGGAGAAGAGATCAAAGGAGGCATCGTATACGAAGAAAAGAGCAAGGGAGGCACTCGATCATGTTGTGTATCTAATGGGAAAGGAAAAGAGAATTGCTGTTGATAGCAATAAGAAAGTTAGTAACGCGAACAACGGTGTTGTGGCCATGCCTGTGGTTGTGAACAACAAGGTTGATACTTCGAATGAGGTTTTGGAAGCTTTGAATGCAGTGGAGTTGAAAGAGAGGGTTAAAAGTGTTGTGTCTGAAGCACAGGGTAATGGGGTTGCGGTAATGCAGGTAGATGTTGTTAATGGTAAAGATTCAGGAGTCAATTCTGTCGCTGAAAATGGATCTGGAAAGACTGATAACTTGGGGAAGGCTGCTCAAGGAGAAAAAATAAGCAATGGTTTAGTTTCGTCAGTCGGCCAGGAACAGGCTCAGGAAAAGATTAATTCTATGGAGGAAAATAGTGTCAGCAACCTTAAGCATTGAAGAGCAACATTGAAGCTGGTAAGTAGCTTTTGGCAAAAGGATTTTGCTATGTTAATGTTTTTGTAACCTGTCTTTTATCTGTATGATTGTAGGTGGTTTCTATGTAGGATGCAAATTACCTGATGGTTGGTGGGATTGGGTTATGATCTATGGCAAGAAATGAATAGCTTATGAATTAGATGACTCATTTTGGTAAAAGAGCATTCTTCCTAAAAGTTTCTATATCCTGATTATAAATTGTGAGAAAAGGTGCTATTGTATGATGGGTGCTAGTTTTCTTTCTGATAAGTTTAATGCTTTCAATCTACTTGTACATTTGGTATCACTGCGTTCAGTTCCTTCTTTTACAATGTTTTTCTGCTCTAATGCCTGCATTTAGTGAGGTGGGGTTCCTTTTCCACGATTACATTTTTGGAATATGAATTTCTTGGCTTTCTTTTTTCATGGAATACACTTTTCCTGAATGTAATGATCAAGGCCAAATCATCTCAAGAAATGTAACAGTAATTGGTTTTGCAAATAGCCTACAATTCGAAACATCTCAAAAAAAGAGTCTTCCCATTTTATTGCAAGTTCTACAAGAGCCATATCTGCTGAAATCACAGATGGCTTATAAGTACGTTGAATACGCGTTTACTTCCGTACTTAATGTGTAAAGAGATCCTAAACAAAAGGTGGGAGTAAGAGTTTGTGTGTTCCATGTTTGATTATCCTCGTGTAAAGGTTAAGGTATAAAGTCAAGGCCATGAATTGTAGGATTATTCTTGCTTGAGTTGGCATCAAAGGACCTGTTGTAATTCGAAATAGACTTGCTCTATGATTTGCATCTTTGTATGCCTACATGGGATCCGGCCATAAGCTTTTCGTCTGATTTGTAGACATGGGAAATGGTGCATCACCCTTTAAATATGTGTAGCTCTTTGTGGTTGCCACAATTCTCTCTTCTCGTTACAGCTGGTATCGAGGTGCAGTTTACTATTGTTTCTATGATGCCTCATTTTTAAGACCTGACTGCTGTTAGCCTGTTACTTTCAAGTTCTTGATCCTTTTGATGCCACCTACTTATAGATTGCTTCATCATGACTGGTCTTAACTTCTTAAATTGGTAGTAGCAATACGGCTTATGGGAGACACAGAATCCTTGCTACTTCTAGTTGATTTATGCTTATGATAGTTAAGGGATCAGAGGGAACTGCCACTAGTAAACTATTCTATTGCTTCATGCAAAGATAAAATGATATGGTTTCCACTCAGAACACCATTTTATGTGAAGATTGTGCTTGTTATGTGAGAGTGAATGTAGCTTAAATACATTGACATATTTACACTAATATATGCTGGTATTTACAACTCTTTTTAATGACCTTAATCCCTACTACCCTTCTTGAGAATTGTTTATGTAGATGATTATAATCGTTTATGGAGAAGGGCTGTAGAGATTTGGAAATCCCATAATCATCTACTTAATCTCAATCTTCTTGGAGAATATCCCAGGTATAATTAGATGATTATAAGTCGTTTTTATGGAGTAAAAAAAACTAATTCGTGTATATATCGGTGAACAGACTGATATTGGTTCTGGACATGACCGTGTCATACATATTTTTGGATACTTATTTATTTTTGTAGAAGGTTTGAACTTTGAAATGTACTAGATAATTATGACTTTATTACAAGGTGAAAGCTAGTTCATGTGTATGTATGCTGGTGAACAAACTGATTATGGCTCATGACATGCCATTGTAATACATGGCACTTGTGATGCACCTATTGGATTTTTATTTCGAGAAACTTTGAAATGTAACTGATGGTTGTAAACTAAAAGATAGTTCATGTTTAACTCTTGATATATTCTTCACATCTTGATATTATATGCTAATGTCTTGCTTGAATGCAAAGACTAGAGTGTTTTGACCAATGTGAATTTGGTCTTTGTGTGATCTTCATGTCAGAGGTAGCATAGTTTATTTAAAGGTTCAAGTATGTATTAATGAGGTAAAAGACTCTTATGAGGTGGTAGTGACTAATTTTTTTTCATAATATATGGGTCTGTGCAAAATTAATTGCTACATTGGGTGATCTCGATAGAAACTCTGCACAGCTAAATTATCTGATCTCACTTGACAGCTACCAGAAGTTATCCCGCTGCCTGTTTCTCTGTCCCCCGACTAGGCTCTAAATTTTATTGTCTTTTACAAAGTGTTCCATAACAATGTACCTTAAGATCTAAAATTGCGATGATATTTCCTGATTTTGATGTTCAGTTGAGATTTTCCCATGATAATAAGTCGGGGCTATCTGGTATGGAAAGGTCTGTCTGCTTAGGATATCATGTTTTCTTCTTTGCCACACATCCTTGACGATTGTTGCCTGTTTACACGATCCTCTTTGCATCATAACTCAATGATGATGAGAACACTTCTTCTGTTCTTGCATGTTTTATCTTTGTTTTCTCACATATGTCATCACTGTCTTTATTGTAAATAATCTTTATTGTCTGCTTGCACACACCCTTTCTACTTTTATCTTCCTCTGTTACTTGCTATCCATTTTCTTCTCAAAATCCACAAAACTTCCAAACATTTTATTGAACTTTCTGTTTCTCATATTTTTCCAAAATGTTTCCACAAGTCGGGGTCTTCATGAAAACAACCCCTCTACCCCTTGAGTAGAGGAAAGGTCAATAACTTGACTGAGATGAGAGCAAAAGTGGCAGTTGATTCAGATGATTGAATCCATAGATTTAGTGAATCATGTTGAAACTAGCAGTAAAGGAAAATAAGTTTCCTAACATTATCAGTTTTGAACAAGGGTGGAATCTGCTTTGCATAAAGTTTTTTTCTATTAACCCGGATATCCAACCCGCTATGCAAGCCGACTAATCCCGGGGCGACCACCTGCTTCGCCGGTAGCCGAAATCACTGCATTTGAACCTCTGTGGCCACAAAGGGGATTTTTATTTCTCATTAGATTCGAACTTGGGACCTTCAGGCACTTTTGACCTTTAGAGCCTAAATTCAAACCAATCAGATGCTACCCGGTTACTTTTCATAAAGTTGTTAGCCATGGAAACAGTAATTATGTTTCTATTGCCCGGGGATACTTGGATACATAGCCGTTACTCTGAGCTTTCAAGAAGGGTGGAATCTGCTTTAATTGCCTTGGTGGGTGAGGTAACACCTATGTATCTTTAAAGTGTCGGGCTTACGTGCCAAAATCTTAGTTTAAAATAGGTTCTGATTAGCGCATGATCATTTAGAGGCCGTTTACCAAATATTTACCGGGTTAGCACATAGAGGCAAATGTCACCACCCTCACCTAACTTATCGAGTAACATCATTGGCTATCAAAATGGATGGTTGGTAAGCGTTTACCGGGTAAGAGCCTTATGTCTCACTAGGTAAATTATTGGTCATTGCTATTGCTATGACTCTTACCGGGTAAGATAAGCAGTCATTGCGGTACTCACTTGGTAAGGTAAGTGACATCTGATTTGGTAAACATTTCGTAAACAGCTCCTTGATCTAATGTCCGTCTCTTTATTGTGGAGAGAGATCCGAAACAACAAAGGCAATTGGTAGCATCAATTTTGAAACGGTTGACCATATGAATAGAGGTTAGGCTGAACTTGGGATTCTCCTGGCATGGGACCTGGGGCAAATCAAAATGACATGGGATAACCCCTGTCTTCTTTTGATAGGATCATATATTGGTTTGGTTTGGTTTGGTTTGGTTTGGTTTGATTTAAGACGATAATGGCAAGACTGGAAGGAGGGTTGGTAGTGATATAAAGCTCTTCATTTCATGAGAGATTGGCATTAATGAAGCATAACATGTAGACATGAGGCTAGGACTCTTTAGTATCGGTTGATTTGCAGAAGCAACTAAGCTACTAGTCTTTGTAACTTAATCTTTAAGATGAAATTTATGCAGTTGGATAAACTAAGGTAACTTATTTTTTTATATATGTTTGGATAGTTTATTAGAACATTATTTGAAGTAATGTTTTGGTAGCTTATTGTCATTTTTTAATTATAACCCTCGTTAATATTGATTATTAT